GAAGTCGCAGCCACTGATATTAAGAGCCCTTCCGCCGCCCACCATGGCCACCACCATCGACGACCGGTCCCCTAATCCACCTAATACCTTGGCCCACCAAGACGGCTCTCCTGATCCCTCTGGCCGCCCATCAGTAGCCCAGTCCACCAACTCTGACCAAGCAGGACCGCGCAGATCCAGCTTCAACTTTCTGCGCCGAACCAGCGGGAAAAGCTCATCCGAAGTTCGCGGTAATAGCAGTAATCGAAGCACTTCAATCGGCAAGATGAGCAAGAAGCAGAAGCAACTCGCCCAGGAGGAGGCTCTTCGCAAGCAGCGCGAAGCTACCATGCTGCCCAAGCAGCCGCCGCGCCTGCCTTCTCACTCGGCCCTTCCCCAAATTGCCACGTTTGGAGGTGAAGATGCTCGTCCAGACTCCATTGCCATTGTCTCCAACAAAGCTGGCACCTACAACCCCAGCGCCCACAACTTCAGCCGACCCTCAACCGACACCTACAGGATGGCGCCTATCCCCAGCTCCAGCCCTGCTGTGGCGCCGCCCGTGCCTGGTTCCTCGCAATCCAACTACATGGACTACGATCCTTACCCGAGAACTGAGAGTATGACCAACCGTGGTCGCTACAGCTATGCCAGCAGCCAGATCAGCACCGTCAACAGCCCCCGCCGTGTGAGGAGGAGGAAGGACCCCACGCCTTTCAAGTAGGTTCCACATCGCACCCTTCGACGTCAGCGCTAACAATTACATAGCATCCTTGTCATTGGTACCAAGGGCTGCGGAAAGTCATCGTTCATTGAGTTCCTCCGCACTGCGCTTGCACTTCCGGCTCGAAAGCGCCCACATACGCCCTCCCCACCCGCTACAGCCGTGGGTGGTGACGACTCACCTTTCACGTCAGAGTTCCTCGAGACTGAAGTAGACGGTGAGAGAGTCGGCGTCACGCTCTGGGACTCCGAGGGCTTGGAGAAGAACATTGTCGATTTCCAACTACCCATCATCACCTCTTTCCTCGAGTCCAAGTTTGAAGACACATTTAGCGAGGAACAAAAGGTTGTACGCGCTCCTGGCGTCAAGGATACACACATTCACTGCGTCTTCCTCGTCCTGGATCCGATTCGCTTGGACCAGAACATAGCCGAGGCCCGCAAGAAGTCTAACGTCGTTAATGCTGGCAGTGCCATCTTCGGTGGTCTAGATGAGCGCCTAGATCTCAACATACTTCGCGAGCTGCAAACCAGAACGACTGTAATTCCAGTCATCAGCAAGGCAGACACAATCACCGGCGCACACATGCGCTACCTCAAGAAGACAGTCTGGGACACTATCAAACGCGCAAAGTTGGACCCCTTGGAGGCCCTGAACCTAGACCTAGGTGACGATGACGAAGATCCCGACCGACTGGATGAGCGTGATGAGGACGAATACGAGCAGTCGTCTGAGGGCGAAGGTAAATCCGAGGTACTTAACAAGATCCTCGAGCGATCTTCCTCCGAAGCTGCGCGCTCGATTGCTTCATCTGGTTCTTCCACTAGGTCGCACTCACCTCCGACCTCGCCCCCGAGCGCCAGGAAAGGTCACAGCCGCAAACCTTCAGCTATGTCCGCCTCTATTCACAGCGAAAATGCCGAGACTCCGTTCTTGCCTCTTAGCATCATCTCGCCAGATCCTTATGACCCTGAGGTTGTCGGTCGTAGATTCCCATGGGGCTTTGCCGACCCTTACAACCCGGAGCACTGCGACTTCGTCAAGCTCAGGGAGAGTGTCTTCAGTGATTGGCGCTCCGAACTCCGCGAGGCTTCCCGTGAGCAATGGTATGAGGGCTGGAGGACCACCCGTCTGGAGAAGAGCAAGCGACGAGTCGCGACTTCAGATGGACCAGCAACCAGGGGGCTCTCCGTTCCGGCGACGAATGGTCGGGCCGTCAGTGCTGGCGGCGGCCAGTATCGCCCATATCGCCCCAACGAGTTCTAGGTGCCTCGATCCTAACACTCACGCCTCTTGCCAGTCCGGCATCATCATCGAGTCAAACCAACTACGGACAACATTCACTCCACAACGAGGCCATATGACGTTCATCCAGCGAAGCATCTTTTGATTCTTCCACATTCAGCACAACTCAAGCGGTATATGTGTACACTTGGAGGTCTCGATACCTTTTCCTATATCAGTCTGCATCTGGAAGTTTGTGTTTTTATCTGATTTTGAAATTGCGCATACCCTTTTTCGTATTGTTTAGTACCATTCTAGAGTCACGCCGTTCCGACACTGTTCATTCTGTTCAACAAGGATCCGGGTGGTCGATGTCTTTTACGCTGAGCGTAGTAGGAGCAATGCGGGATCAGCTTCAAACCTGTTTATTTAGCGAATGATTAAGATATCAGTGGAGGATTGGTAGCAAACAGATCGTAGGGGTTGAGGGGATTCGACAGAAAAATTGTATCTTATGAAACACTCGTCCTGCTTCACGAACTGTGGCTGTTAAACCTAGTATCGATCAATCTGAGCGCGCAGGGGAGAGACGTGCCGAATACCAAATTCTTGGGTTCGATGCAAAAAGCAAAGTGATTAGCGCAAAGTTTCCAGAAACATGGTCGGGATTACTCGTGGTGTTTAGGGCCGAGATACCAGTTGCCAGGTCCACTCTGACATCTCAACCAACCAATCGCCTGTTCGTACCTCGCATCGTGCATCCTGTCTTGCGCGCGGCGACCATCCTCCTGCTCCCAACGTTCGTCATTAACAACGAGACCTTCTGCATTTGCAATGGTTGCCGGTATCGCACCTTGAGCGATTTAGATATAAGACATGCGATATGCTGTCTTTTCCATTTTGTCAGCGTTTGTTTTGACCTGCACCTTCTTCACGCTCTTCCATCTCCTACCTTACGACATTGAGATGGCTTTCTCACGCAACTATGTGCCGCTACTCGTTGCTTCCATAGCCACTACAGCGGTGGCCCAAAATGTTTCAAAGGTAGATTTAGGCTGGTATGCGCCCAAGAAAAGCTGGATCAACGATATTGGCCAAGTCTTGAATGGCACAGGGACCAACAGATTTGTGTTCAACAGCTCGCAGCTACCAGCTGGTGTGGAGTACGGAACGTACAATTGGTGTAACATGCCGCATGTGAGGAAAGAAGAGTATGTCAAGGTCGATGATGAGTTCGAGTTGGTGTATGTGGAGGTGTAAGTGTCAATGTCATTCTCTTCAAGTTGAACTGGGAGCTTACAGTTGGCGTAGTATCCATCGCCATCACAAGCGCACACCTTATGCCTCCAATACCTTTCCCAAAGAGGCTTATCCCTGGGATTGCAATGACCAAGGTCTCTTCTACTATGGCGAGCCTCTAAATCCCGCTGGTAACACTTCTGCGTCAACATATTGGAGTGTCTATACCAATCCTGTTAACCCCTTTGCTGTGGCCGGTTTCAACGGATCGTGCCAGTTTCCGCAAATTACCCGTGAAGGCCTCGATGACTCCTTGCAACACGGCAAAGATCTCTACGGCGTATACCACGACATGCTCGGCTTTCTACCAGACGCCATCAACGAAAAGACAACATGGCGCGTCTCAAATAACGTCATCACTAGCCAAGTCGCCGGAATGTTGATTGAGGGCATGTACAACTCCAAAGACAACGTACTGCTGCACGTTCAACCCTCCACCATCGACTCCCTAGCCCCGTCGTACTCTTGTCCAGCAGCCTCTTCTCTTTACAGCTCCTACGGTGTCGGCAGCACAGCTTCAAACTGGACTGCGCACCTCAAGGCCACAGCACCACTCTTCGCTTCTCTCGACGCCATAAGCGGTGTTGCTACCGACTCTTCAGAATGGCATAATTGGTTCGACCACTACTACGACAATCTCTCCGCTCGTCAATGCCACGCCAAACCTTTACCCTGCAACATCACCAACCCAGGTCTTTGCGTCACTCAAGAACAAGCCGATACTGTTTATCGTCTTGGTCAGTACGAGTATTCGTTCATTTATCGCGATTCTCCGCTTTCTCTACAAGCAGCTGCAGCTTCTTACGGCGTTTTCATGGCCGAGGTTGTAGAGAATATGCGCGCTGTTCTTGCAGGCAAAGACTCCGTCGTATATCGGCATAATGTTGCGCATGACGGATCGTTGGCGCGCTTACTTAGTTTCTTGCAGGTTGAAACTATGGTTTGGGTGGGTATGGGTTCCGAGGTTGTGTTTGAGGTCTACCAGAAGGAAGGCAAAGCGTATCTGCGTATACTTTGGGGTGGACAGGTTTTGAAGAGTTCAAATCCAAGTTTAGGGGAAATTGATATGATTGATCTGGATGTTTTCCTGGGGTATGTAGATGGACTGGTAGGGAGGAGAGCGGACAAGGTTGTTGAGAATTGTGCGGAGTAGATGATTACCAAGCATACGACTCAGAGATAATAGAGTTCTGGATGAGGTTCTTGATACCGGTGTTCAATACTATGACTTCATCCGTAGCATGTACTTGAAAGACGCGTGTAATTTCTAGCGATTCCAATCCAATCATCGAGAGAGCAAATGTCAGCTAGACGCTTTCTCAACTACTTTCGAGCGAGGCTTACTAAACATCAAGAAAGGTCTCGACTGAGATTGTAAGCTAAACATTTGTTAGGATGCGCATGCAAAGTAAGCATGCTAAGCATGCTGTCAGCGTTCCTTCGCGACTACCTCGCCAATCAAAACGAAACGATTAGACCAGCCACCTCAGTACCTCAACGCTTCTAGGCAAAAGTCCTGATGAGGTTCCTGCCGAAAGCCGAGATTTGGAATGAGAGTGTTGTAAATCAGGTTCAGATTGCGCATGAATACGTGCTTACTACCAAGTGTTTGCGCTGATGTTTGGGTATATAGTAAAGCAAGAACCACTTCACTGTAGACAGTATACTTCCGAGGTTATTTGACTGTTTGACTCTACACTATTTTCAGTTGCTTCTACGATTTTACACAACGACAAGAAAGATTCCCGAGAATATACTACATTGTTGGTGAATCATGCCACTTTCTACAAATCCGGAGGTAGTAGAGACGAGCAATGGTCTTGTGAGCACTCTTCGGGGTATGGCTGGCAACGCGCCGCACAGCTTCAGACCTGGTATGTTGTTTTTACCTTACCTCCTCCTTGCTTGATCCTTTCTCGGGTCCCTCAGTTATGCATGCATATAATTACCATCGGTTCTCCACTCCGAACATTAGCAGCTGATATACTACAGCCCATGCGAAAGGACATCTCTTGACCGGAACCTTCACACCCAGCACCACAGCCCCATCCCTTACAACAGCACCGCACTTCAACAACTCTTCCACACCGATAACCGTGCGCTTCTCTTCCTCCACCGGCTTTCCCAAGATTGCAGACACAGACCCCAATGCCAATCCGCGAGGCATCGCAGTTCGATTTCACCTGCCTCCTAAGGAAGACGGAACTCGGCAGCATACCGATATCGTTGCTCACTCGACACCATACTTCCCTACACGTACTGGTGCTGAGTTCCTGGAGTTTTTAAAGGCGGCAACAGGGCAGAACGCAGGAGAGGCAGTGCCCGAGTTTCTGGGCCGCCATCCGGAGACGGCAAGGTTTTTACAAGCGGCGAAGCCTAGTCCTGAGAGTTTCGCGACAGAGAAGTTCTTTGGTGTAAATGCCTTCAGGCTGGTTAAAGAGGGCAATGCTACCGTAGTCAGGTACAGAATTGTACCCGTTACTGGGGAGAAGCATCTCGACATTGAGGCGTTGAAGGAGAAATCCGACACTTATCTTTTCGATGAGTTAACTCCACGTCTGCAGTCTGGATCTATTGGATTCAAGCTACTGGCTCAGGTTGCGGATGAGGGTGACGTAACTGACAATGCGACTGAGATCTGGCCTGAGGAGAGGAAAATTATCGAACTGGGTGAGATTCAGATCGAAAAAATCAAGGACGACGAGGAGAGCGCGAAGGAGCAGAAGAGTATCATCTTTGATCCTATCCCGCGAGTAGAGGGAGTAGAGCCAAGTGATGATCCGTTGTTGGAGGTACGCGCCAGCGTTTATCTGATATCTGGAAAGCAAAGAAGAGCTGCGGAGGAGCCGGAGAAGGCGGATAGCGTGGTCGCAACGGATGCTGCAGTGGCTGCAACATAATAGCCGGTTCTGCATGCTGTCTAGAGGGATGGATGAGAGATTTCGATGTCTTTCATTTCCTGCATAAAATACACTGTTTGTACGATCGCAGTCATATCATCTTGTGCTTAAAATTGATGGCAGAGCCACTGTTTGTAGCGAAGTTGAAAGCAGGGTTTGTTTTCCCCTTGTTTGATGGTTCGAAAGATCAATGTACCGCTCCACATCCACTCTCTGTTTCGCTAATAGCGACAATGAAGGTAATAACCACAGGCTATATTGCGACTGACCAACCGTACAATTTTAGAACTCGGGATAGTTCCATTACCTATGTTCTGGTAATCATAGCAGTGTCTTTTGAGTTCTGGAATCCTGAATCGGCGGTGGCGTAATATGTAAGGGTGCAGCCATCGCCGCAGTAACAAAGGCGGAGCCGCTGTAGCTGAGCAACCAATTCTGCACTCAACGTTAGGGCTGAGCGATCCTGGTGCAAAGGCGTGTATCATCCCATTTTAAAGTCTCTTGCCGGATTTTGCCAAGTCGAGAGCCCTTGGCGATATAGCGTGTGACTGACATCTCGGATAAGTCTGGGGTAGCTTGGAGTTGAGTGGCAGCAAAGAATGATTACGCCATCAATCGCTGAGAGTTCATGGTCATCGCATCTCACGAACAGCATCGCGATGTTCAGGCTGTATCATGATTGAGAATTATATGAGGTTTACACATTGTCCTTTGTCCTCTTACCTTTCCAAAAAGAGGCTTGAGAACTCCACCACGCATTCGTAGTAAGCTTCGGAAGAAGAATGCCATTCGCCTGGAGGTCTTGGATGGGTGTGTGATGGCGTATCATGATAGGGTTTGATAGGCGAATGCTTTCTTCATTATCCAGAAATATCGCTCTCGGCCTAGTAACAGGTGTTGCGTGACCAGATGACTGCGCATAGCGGTTGGTGGTCTGTGATGCGCTCTATGATTGGCATACTCAGTAAGCGCTTTGCAGACGCTACAGCTACTCAACTTTCACCAGTATTCGAAAGTCCTGGCGACATGCTCTGATTGATATCACGAAGAATTTCAGCTACGGGCTGATTGGAAGAGGGCTCTTGCGGGATTGTACATTGTCGATACAGTAGCGGGAACGATGATTGTGATGCGATGTGACGCGATACGCCATAGTCTTACATTCCCTAGCTACCCATGACGCCCGGATTCAGTTAGTACGCTTCAGAAATCCTTTGTTCAACGATAGTGATGTGCAGGTGAAATCAGAGGACGGGACGTGCGTCGAAGGAGCTGCCAAATGGGATCAAAGTGGAGCTGCGGGGAAAGATGACATGGTATCTTGGCATCTCCCACGTCGAGCTCTTGACAACGCCGCCTTCCAGATCACAGACCCTATTGGCAAATTCCTCTATGTCATGGATCATCCGTCGGTATCAGCTTTGGGGGTGGCAGTTTGCCTGTACGCCATTTCCCTGGGCTCTCCATCTGTGGACGCCAGTACATCGATGCTGTTGCCAAAAGTAGTTGTCGCTTGCTGCAAACACCGTTCTTTACAAACACGGCCGTGCCAGTCAGGCATGTACTGGAGTATCTAAGGTAGGATAACAGTGGATGCCTGTGCCTTTCCAATTTACCTTGCGCTACTTCTGATTGAATATTTTTCAAACACGCACAGTGTATCAACACGCTACTGTTGTGCACAACACCCCATTTGTGTGAAGACATTCTCACGAACCATCCCAGTGGTCCAATCTTTTCCGCATCTTTCTCCTCCCTCTTCAGGCTTTGTACGACGTAATACGTAAAGGTTTCGTGTCCTTTGCTAAGCGCGTTGTACGCCGATTTACCAAGCGTCCTACATTGTTACAGGCGGAGAAGCCCACCTTCTAGACTACGCTCATAGTCTGAGTTGCATGGATCCCGCGACCCTGCGTTGTTCACACAAATATTTTCCACGATTGGAGGTCATTCAAATCCCTCAAGACCTGCATTACCCCACAAGGCATCGCGGCTACTTTCGCGCCATACGACTTATCCCTGTTGGTCCTTATTTCGACTATGCCGGTTGTTTGCAGTCTTGAATCCCGATGCCATTGAAGCGGTAAGAGACATCAAATAAATTCTAAACACAAGGACGAGCATTCGGTCAGGACAAGCAGTCACTCTTAGTATTACCATCGCCATCGTAAAAGGTCAAGTCCCTCTGATCTCAGCGCATTACCTACTCCCTCCCGAGCAAAGTTACGCCTATGTAAAGGACTCGAAGTATGAATACTCCATTATCTCATAGCAGAGATAATGCTATCGTAATTGCCACACGAACAGCATCCGGGATTTCCGTCATTGGTTCAGCATTCATCATTAGCACCTTTATCTACTTCCCATTCTTCAGAAAACGTACGTCCTCCTACTTAACCAAAACTCAGGGGCTAATCATGCACAGCGATCAACCGTCTGGTTTTCTTCGCGACTTTCGGCAACATCTTGACCAACATAGCAACCTTGATGTCAAACGCAGTATTACCGAAGGGCTCAGAACCCCCATCCGGCCTATGCGAGCTTCAGGGACTACTCATCCAATGGTTCCTGGTCTCAGATTCTCTCTTCTGTTTATCGATGGCCACAAATGTATTTCTGGTGTTTTTCTACGGGTACGATGCTCAGCAGCTACGTCATCTAGAGAAATGGTATATCGCATGCAGTTATGGTGTTCCAGCAGTACCAGTCCTTGCATACTTCATCCTAGACAGGACTGGACATCAGGTCATTGGGTCGGCAACTCTTTGGTGCTGGGTAGCATCTGACGTTGAATGGATGCGCATCGCGTTCTTCTACGCTCCTGTCTGGTATGTTCTGCCCTCATCATGTTAAACATCACTAACATTCCCAGGGTTGTGATCACCGTGACCATCAGTATCTACATTGTTACCGGCTACCGCATTTGGAGAAAGAGGGTTGAACTGCGATCAGTTTCTCGCGGCTCGAATCAATTCCTACGAAGAGATTCATTGACTGCCCCTATACATGATGCTGCACGGGGTTCTTTGCTCGGCATGAACAACATTATGGTAACGACACAGATCAAATGCGATGTTCAGACGAACGATCCAATCTCCCGCGCGGTTTCCCCTGAGCTGAACCAAAACTCTATTAGTTCATTCGCAAGCAACCGGTTGCTTTCTAAGCCCAGCAGAATGGATGATTTGGCCACAGAATCATCATCAGCTTCTATTCCTATCTATACGCCTAGTGTCCAGATCGAGGACATCGAAGCCCAGCGAATTCTACATCAGGGCACAGCCGGAAGGAATGGGTATAGGGCAACAGTTGTTGCCGCAAGCCCCACAGCGGGCACGGCAACGGCCTCAACTACACTATGCAAATCTCGTCCTGCTACAAAGAGAACTGCTGAAGGCCACGCTGCAGCAATGGCATACTTTCAAGTGGCCTTCCTTATGTTTCTGGCCCTCTTTGTTGTCTGGCTGCCTAGCAGTATCAACCGCATGTACCAGTTCACGAAGAACCGCCCAAGCTTCGCTCTGAACGTCACCTCGGCAATCGTCTTACCTCTTCAAGGGGCCTGGAACGCCACGATATACATTTTCACCACCCGCAGGGAGTGTAGACAAGCTTGGAGTACGGTGATGTCGAAACTCAGTGGCAAGCCAAGGCCGGACCGAACATCACGAGGCACATATCGTAAGGGGGCGATGACGAGCTCACAGAACACCGGTGAATCTGCTATTGATGTTGCGTTAGACGATGTTACAAAACATAATGTCGATGTCCGTCACTCCGAGGTGTCAAACCATGATGCGATGGAGCCAGAAGCCCAACCTGATCGAAGGTCCCGGTGCGCCGTCAATTCTTCTCTACCTCGTGGTACTACTGTAGCACTACAATAGTGCAACAGTACTCGAATGTGTTCATGTTCGATCATTGATTTCTTGTACATTCGTTTTCATAGAGGTTTATTATTATCTTAGAAGTATCCACAGTTACCAACTGTGTGGTTCATGTCTGTTTTATAGCTTCCCATGCAGTAGTGGCTATTTGTCTTGATATATATGGCTATGTTGGTTACGATGTTCATAAATTTGGGAGGACTCCACCATGCGCGTTTTTACGTAGCAGTAGGCGCAAATTATCTCTTATCAATTAAAGTAAATACATAAAGCACCATGATGTCTTGAATCATCCAACGACCTCATCTCGATCTCTTACAATGCTATCCATACCCGTCCTCCTCGGCACGAGGATACTCCTCAGAATGCAGAGCTGCCCGTTATCTGGACAAATCTTCTCCCTGTTGAGCTGCTTATCAACTGGACCCGTCGGCCCACCAGTAAACTTCGCCTGCCCAAACAGCTTAACCTGTCTCTTATCACTCTCAGGATACTCTTGGTCACCCCACCTACCCTTGAAGTTCAGCCATGCAGTCGGTGCTTGACCATCGTATGCCGAGAAGGCGTTGTTGCCAGCATCAAACTTGTAAAAGCTAGCCGATAGCACCGGATCCCACATTACGCCTTTGTCAGTGTAGTCTTCTAGAACGCCACCAGGGAGGTTCAGATTAGGGATTGTGTGATCGTGGGTTCCAGAAATGGCGTAGTTCGCATGAGAGCCTTTCGCGGAGTAGGCAATAGGTCTGTCGCCAGACTTTTCGACGGTGTTGTAGCGAAAGGCTTGGCCGTTGGCGTGTTGAGAGTACCAGATTGCTTGGGGAGAGCCGTTTTGAAAACGGACCATGACATGCTCCCAGTCGCCTACGTGATTACCTAGAGGAGTCGTGTTAGAGTCGGTTGTAGTCTGGAAAACAAGGGGAAAATGTACCGAAGTTGAGCTGGCTCCATCCAAGTACGTTACCGCCATAGTTGTAGGCGTAGAAGTACATGTAGAAGGCATCCACATTGCCGTCTCCTTTGTCGTTCACAATGATAGCCGCGGTAGTTGCTCCTTCGGTCTTTCCTTGTCCGTTGGGTTTTGTGCCTTTGATCCATGTGGGATCCTTCGTCACA